TGCCATATGAAGACTTAGAAATTTAACATCTTTTACATCCGGAAACTGTAATCTAGTTTAGTTAAACTTTACCCATTATTCAAGAATGAACCTCAACTGTTTAATTTGTTTTAGTTTGTTCTCTAAAGTTTTTATAAGCTTTTAGAACATCACTAAACACTCCATTACAGCCTCCAACAGAATCTGAAATTACCAAAATCCAAGTCTCGTAGCCCAAACGATCGCCCAAAACTCAGAAAAATGGAAAAAGTGGAAAGACCCTGCTCCCTCAAAGAGGGAGCCTGCTCTTTCTTCTGGATAGCCTTCTCCCATTTCGGCTCTCCTCTGTTCCTCGTCTCTTCCACCTCCAGTGGTTCTCCGACGGCCTGTCCTCCACTCCTAGGGTGTCTAGGTATTTAAACCAAGTTCCAGCATGTTCAAGAGGCAACCTAATTCGTTATACAACCACCCACATCAAACTAAACAAGTATTGTATACCAAGAACTGCAACCGATTACTTTAGCGTTCAAATTTACTTACTGCTTTAGACGATCCAAGCTTACAAACAGATTAACTTTAATGTTATTACAAGGTCTTTTAGATTAATCTAACCCCTTATACATCAACGGACAAGAACTAAATCAAGACATTTGGAAGAAACAGTATACAACAAACAATTCAAAACATACAAACACGTTCAGTTTTTGAAGCATCCAAACATGTATTAAATTTTGATTTTAAACTTGATTAAATCCTAGAGTTGCATTAGGCATGTAAAGAACACGAGCCTAAGAGATAGAGTTAGGATTAGAACTTGCCTTACACCGACGTCTTCTTAAAATCCTTCGGCAAACTCTCTGCTTGCTCTCTCTCTGCCTCCACAGAATAACTTACGTTTTGTTTTGTTTTGTTTTAAACCCTAACCCACCGTAACATACATATTTATAGGCTTTGACATTATACCTTAATCCATGCATAACTATAGGTCTAGCTACAATTATAGTCGGCCTAACCAATTAATTTAAGTAATTAAAATAACACAAATAAATAATAAAAGTAAAACTATTTAATTAACCCAATTACACTCAAATCATTAATGCCAATTAAATAATTAAAACACTAACAAGTAATTCCAATTAAATAACTAAAAATAAATATCATTTAAATAAATTAAATCAACACAATAGAAAACAATTAAGCACTTAATCAAAAACAATAACACATAATCAAATAAAATGCACTTAAATAATAAATTAAATACCATTAAATACTAGGAATATCCTTTTTAAAATTAGGGGTATTACATTCTTCCCCCCTAACTAAAGGAATTCCGTCCTCAGAATTCGCTCTTACCTTCTTCCAATATTTCGGGAAACTACGAGTGAATGACATCCTCCCGTTCCCAAGTGGACTCAGCCTATTGAACACGCACCTAAAGGTAATAACCTTATTATGAAGGATTTGATCCCGTCGGTCTATAATACGACACGGCGGCTCCAAATAAGTTGCATCCGGCTTCAATTCAATTTCCCCAACATTAATATGCTGAAACCGATCCTTATCCCGTAGAAATTTCCACAACATGGAAACATGGAATACATTGTGTACGCGATCCAAATTATCCGGAAGTGCCAACCGATAAGCGACAGCTCCAACTCGATCCATAATCATGAATGGACCGACAAACTGCGGTGACAACTTCCCTTTCTTCCCAAAGCGCATTACACCCTTCATAGGCAACACTTTGAGTAGAACTTGATCCCCAACTTGAAACGCCAAAGCTCGTCTGCGACGATCCGCGTAACTCTTCTGCCTACTCTGGGCAGTGCGCAGGTGATCCCTAATAAGAGCTATCTTCTCAGAGGTATTTTTAATGAACTTCGGACCCAAGAATCTGCTCTCGCCAACCTCCATCCAACAAACAGGCGATCGACACGGTCGACCGTATAACGCCTCAAATGGTGCCATTCCAATAGTCTTCTAAAAACTATTGTCATAAACAAACTCCACAAGCGGCAAATAATCCTTCCAATTGCCCTTGAAGTCAAGAACACACGACCGAAGCATATCCTCCATGATCTGATTAACCCTCTCAGTCTTTCTATCAGTCTGAGGATTATAAGCAGTACTAAGGTGTAATTCAGTACCCAAAGCCTGCTGAAAACTCTTCTAGAATCCTGACATAAAGCTCGAATCCCTGTCCGATATAATAGACAATGGAATGCCATGCAGCTTTACAATATACGAAATGTAAAGTCTCGCCAACTGCTTCAAAGTAAAGTCAGTGCGAATAGGCAAGAAATAAGCTGATTTCGTCAATCTTTCCACGATGACCCAAATGGAATTTTGATCCTTGAAGGAATTTGGCAATCCTTCCACAAAATCCATAGAAATGCTCTCCCATTTCCACTCTAGTATCGGCAGTGGCTGTAGAGCTCCTGGCAGCCTCTGATGATCAATCTTGACCATCTGATAAGTATTACATCGTGAGACAAATAGAGCAATGTCCCTTTTCATACGTACCCACCAAAACTGCTACTTCATATCTTGATACATCTTGTCTCTTCCTCGATGAACAGAAAACTCAGAGTTATGAGTTTCAGTCATTACATCCTTTCTTAAATTGTCAAAAGAAGGTACCATGAAGCGTTCCTTATACCTCAAGCCTCTGTCAGTCCCAACATAGTAAAATGAAACTTCCCCAGCAGTTATCTCTGCAACCTTGTCGATACACTGCTGATCCGTGAGTTGTGCTTGAAAAACCTTACGAATGATGGAAGGTGTAACCACCAAGCAAGCCATAAAAGCATTCGACAACTCATCCACATTCCTCAAAGCATTCTACTCAGTGGTGAATAAAGCAGAAAGACTACCAATAGGTCGGCGACTGAGTGCATCTGCCACCATATTCGCTTTCCCTAGATGGTACTGAATAGAAAAATGATAATCCTCGACAAACTCCAACCATCTGTGCTGTCTCATATTCAGCTCCCGCTGAATGAACAAATACTGCAGACTCTTGTGATCCCTGAATAATCTGAAGGACTCACCCAACAGATAATGCATCCAAATACGTAAGGCAAAGACCATAACTGCTAACTCCAAATCATGTGTTGGATAATTAAGCTCGTGAGGCTAAAGCTTCCAAGATTCATACGAAATCGATCGTTCCTTCTGCATCAAAACACATCTAAGACCCTGCAAAGAAGTATCTGTGTAGACAAGATACTCTATTCCGCTCTGTGGGATAGACAAAACCGGTGCAGAAGTCAACTTAGTCTTTAGCTCATCAAAAGCTTTCTGACAATGTTCATCCTATATGAACTGTACACCCTTCTTAGTCAGATGAGTGAGTGGTCCAGCTATCTTTGAGAACCCCTAGATGAACCTCCTGTAATATCCTGCCAAACTGAGGAAACTCCGAATCTCGGTAGGTGAAGTAGGCTGTCCCCACTCAACCACGGCTGAAACCTTGGTTGGATCTACTGCTATCCCCCTTTCGGACACCACGTGACCCAGAAACTTCACTTCCCGCTGCCAAAATTCACACTTCTCGAACTTGGCAAATAACTGGTGTTCACGAAGCATCTACAATACTATGCGAAGATGTCTCGCATAATCGTCCTCCGACCGAAAAATGATCAAGATATCATCAATAAAGATAATAACAAACTAATCCAAATAAGCCCTGAAGACTCTGTTTATGAAGTCCATGAACACTGCTAGTGCGTTAGTCATCCCAAACGGCATGACACGAAACTCATAAGAACCATATCTTGTAAGAAATGATGTCCTAGGAATATCCTGCTCCCTAACCCTCAGTTGATCATACCCAGAACACAGATCAATCTTGGAAAAATATGTGGCTCCCCTTAACTGATCAAACAAATCATTAATCCTGGGTAGCGGATACTTGTTACGAATAGTAACCTTGTTCGACTTCTTATAATCAATACACAGGCAAAGCGAACCATCCTTCTTTTTCACAAACAAAACTGGTGCTCCCCAGGGTGAAGTACTCCTACGAATGAAACCATGGCTGAGTAATTGCTGAATCTGATCCCTCAGCTCTTTCATCTCTACTGGTGCCATCCTATACGGTGCCCTAGCAATAGGCGTAGTGCCTGGAGCTAAGTCTATCATAAAGTCGATCTCGAGACTAGGCGGCAACCCTGGAATTTCTTGAAATACATCCGGGAAGTCCTGTACAACTAGTATGCTATCCAATGATACAGTAATCCCCTCCTCTGTTTCCTACTCTATCCGAAACAAATAGGTGCTAATGTCCCTGTTAAATCGTGGCATAGTAACGACGTAAACATCTGGACTAGGTATGGCAAACACAATAGACCCATCTAAAAACAAATAACTTGAGCATGGTAGTAATAACCAATCCATCCCAAGTATCCCGTCATAAGTGTGCATGTCCATAACAAAAGATTGGCTTGAAATTCGAGTCTACCAATATCTAGTGTCACGGGCACATCATTCTCATGAAAAATGGTAATATTGCCCAACAATATAGAAATATCTTGAGGTCTATTGCATATGTATGTCACCAACCAATCCATGAAAATCCTCCATTTTCGAATACTCTGTAAAGCAACACACATAAGGTAAAATGAAATACTTCGCAATCGTCCCATTTTAGATTATTGTTCTATCCTGGGAATTCCTCCTTCCAAACAAACCTACCATATCGACTTACATAAGTTCGTTTATAAACTCCTTGGTAATCTTCCTATCTCAACATAATGTACCACAAACAATTATCTATTTGCCTGAGCAAAACCAATCACTCCACAGTGATAGACATTTATGAGCCCAATATACACATTCTAATACAGCTTAATAAAACCATATGTGTATAACTCACACACAAGCCATCATAAAACAAAATAAAATAACCAAAACTGTGAGTTCACTTTATTAAGAACTTTTCTAAACTAAAACCGTCAAACAAATAACCGTAAGGTATTTTTTTTTAACATAATCCTAATGTACGTGATTAAATCCATACTACATTCTTACTAATACCTCCTCCACTACTAGTAATTATAAGATGATAAAAATTATTTAACGTATGTATATATATATGTGGTGTAAAATAAAAACAAAAGAAAAAGAAAATATAAAATAAAATGTGTGGGACCCACCATTAATGGTCTATCATCTCAAACACACTCTCTCCCTCTTGATCCTCTCAGCAGCCAAATTCGCTCACTCATTACAAATTGAAGCTTTGTTGGTCTATCATTGATTAAAGCTCCATTAATGTCTCTAGTACACCTAAGAAAGGTGACTAATAGGATTACTGATATAATCCAATTGTAGTGTTATATGTGTTTCTATATATGTAAATCTATATATGTGTGTGTGTGTGTTTGATTATTGGCGTGTATACAGTGTCACATATACACTACAAGACTGATGGTGGTTGATTTATCGTGCCATTTGAGTGTTGGAATCCCTAATCACATCCGCTCATGTAAGTGTATTTTATTTTAATTTCTTTGGCTGAAATTTCATTTGTAAATTCTGAAACAAAATCAGAAAAGCTTAAACCCTGACAGATATGTGTGAGTATATGTTGGAGTTCCTTTTGTGAATCAAAAATTGATTTTATTTATCTCAGAATCTTAAATTCCTTTGATTGTTTGAATTCAAAAGCCACTTTATATTGTTGTCATTTAGGTTTTCTTCTACTTTTTCCCCCTTGAAGAAGCCTACTGATTTAAAGTTATTTTTGTATTGCATGTGTTTGTACAAATGATACAATGAAAAAATGCCATGACAATGATCTTGTGAGGTATCTGAAAGCAAGGTTATAAAGTCACAAAATTAAGTTTCCTCACTGATTAAAGTTTGCATGATAAAATTAGTTGGTGAATGATATTTGGTAGATGGAATAAGCTTTTTGGGCTTCTTGGACCAGAAAGAGTTGGAGATTTTTTGCATGCTAGTTGTTTTATCTTCTGTTTTACTCTTGGTCTTGCTCAAAGAGGTACCTGAGCCCTCGCTTGCATTTTTTTTTTTTTTTTATCTCGGATGCTTGATTCTTTAAGTGATTTGATGGCAAATTCAGCTACTGCAACTTCTGTTGGAACTCCTCATCATCGCAAAAATCATCACTTTGATTCATTAGCGCATGAGGATCTAATTACTGGTTTTTGCAAATTCTATTACGTGACCTAGGAATGTTCCAGTTTTTCTGTAGGAATTCTTTGTTGGTGAATTTTTTTCAAGTCTTACCCCTAGTTTCTAGTTTTGCTTTCCTGTCTTTGTAGTTTTTCATACCGGAAGAGTTTTGATCATAGTTTTACCCCCTAGTCTCTAGTTTTACAATTGCGTTGCTTTGCATTATTTTACCTCTACAATCAATGCTTTTCTAATTGGGCAAGAAATAATAGTGAAAAGTGTCTCTATTTAGAACTTAACCTACATCTTTTTTTCTTTAAAGCATTGCTGATATCAAAATAGACCATATATGCCAATGATTCTTGAATATTTTCTGAATATAAGCAAAGATCATTTATTTTTCTTTTTTCGAACCTTTTGATCTGATTTCTCCATACAACTCATGTTTCTATATTTGTAGATCTATTAACATAATCAATCTAGGTTTTTTTTTTGTTCTTCAGGTTTGTTTATGTGAGTACATTATATGACTTTGTTCCTTTGAGATCTCTGCTCGTCCATTATTTTTTGTTGCTTTTTTTTTTTTTTTTTTTTTTTTTTTTTTTTTTTTTTTACCATCTTGGTTCCTCTGTTTTTTTCTCTCTCTTTTTTATTTGATAAGTCATGTAATGATGGTGTTGGATAACATTAGATGGATATAAAATGAGTGGTGGAATGGAGATTTAAATCTTTATTCAATATGAATATATGATTGATTCTATTCTAGGTTGTATAGTAGTGGAAAAGAGTAATCATGTCATTTTTTTGTTTCATTTTTGCTTCTTCAGTTTCCATGACATCTTCTCTGGCAACCTCTCCTAATATTTCTGAGAAATTAATGGTTATGTGAAGGCTTGGGATGAAAAGAAGGTCGAGTTGGGAACCCCATCACAAAAATGTTTCCTTCCCTTCCTCGTCGGCATGCCAAACTGGTAAATTTTTATTCAACTTATTCCCCATTAAATAGTTAGTCTTATTTATATTGTATCTTTTTGGAGGCTCGAGAAGGGATTCATCAGCTCCAAATATTCAAATTTGGGCTAGCAGTTCGCAAATTGTTTATAGGCTTCTCACCATGGCTTTGGGTAAGTCTAAGATAATTAATTTCTAATTTGTTTATGGTTCACTGTAGTCAGTCTAATATGTTTAATTCAAAACTTGTTAAACAAGGGGCGAAAAAGACTTCTACCACTGTACTACAAGAAAAATGACTTAAAATCTTCTACAACATTGCAAGATTACAACTCAAACAATGGAAAAAAAATTCCAGTAAATAGGAGAAGACCAACAACCAAAAACTTTGAGCAGCAACTTTAAAGACTAGTGTTGTTATTTTAACCAAAATCTGGAGTAAATAGGAGAAGAGCAGAAGCAAAAATAATAATAATAACAATATAAAGGGCAGCAACTTCTTATTCTTCTGCAAAAGCTAGCCCCGTCCAATTTTTAGTTTTCTCGCTCCCGGTTGAAGCTCTATTTTCTTCCTATCTCCCTGCTCAATCTCTTGAACCAGGCACGTCGTCAAAATCAGAAAATCTGGTTGTTGAAACAGAGTTTCTTGAAAATTTGTAGGGATGAAACCTATTTTAACTCCACTAATCCAACCATAAAATCAGAAAGAAAGAAAGAAAAAATTAATAGCTCAGTTAAAATCTGGTGAAACATGACCAAGAAATCTGAAACTTAAAAGCTCAAAGCTGGCCCAAGTTTTAAAAAATTCAGTTTTCAAATTTGGTCCAAATGTGAACGACTAAATTAAGCCAAATATAAAATTGGCTTTTGAATTCCAAAATAAAACCCTTTGTGACAGTGGTAATCTACATAATGTTATTAATCACTGTAACGAAAAAATAAATTGTCTTTCTATGAATTGTAATTAAACAATCAACCATATAGCAAAATTTTCAAAATAAAACTCCAATTCTGCCAACCTGGGAAACGAACTTGACAATCAATATATCATTTGCTTTTCCTTCTTTCAATTTCTTAGTAATCAAACAGTGGGGGCATGAGCAATACAACTTTTCAGCTTAATCACTTTCTTTGTTTTTACTTTCCCAAGCCAGTATACCAATTTTACCGTTGCTTGTAAACACCTCAAAATCCCCAGCAGTAAATGATCGGTTTTCGCCAAAGGAGATGGATCTTTTCAAGTGTGAGTATGCACAATATTCTACTTCATACACTGTAGTATCCTTCAAAAACGCAGAAACTGAAACTCCAACCGCTTCCCCTGCACAATCACAAGATGGGTATAACTTAACAATGCTAACACTAGTTTGAAAACACATGAGAATAAATCAAACTGTTAAATTAGAATTCAATTAAAATTCTTATTATAGGATTGGGAAATATTACTGCGGAATGCTGTAAGATTTATGTTTAGAATCTCAAATAATTTTGGACCACTAATTTGTACTATTGTTTAATAACATCAAACTGTTAAATTAGAATTGAGTACTGTACATATGGCCTTGTATTAGCAGTTAGTACTATTAGATCATAGAATAAGAATCTTACAATAGTCCATTAGAATTATTTCTCCCTTTTTTTGTTGGGTATTAAGAGAAGTAATTAATGGTCGCTGTTTGTTTCAGTGGTAAAACAATTGAGTACCACTGCTATTTTCTTCCTTTGCCTTCTTTTATCATGTAAAATTGCATCTTCATGTTAAAGTCAATTATATATTTTTGGCCTTTCAAATCGTAGTTATCATTTTTTATTTCCATTTTTTTTCTATTGCTCAGAATTAGAATGATGAATTCCATATCATATAATATTTGAGTTGCTACATTGTATGTTTTGATTCTGCCTTTGATATTTGTAAGTTATTGTATACCATTTGAAGGCATTTGTTGATTAAGCTGTGAATTTGTGAATTTGTTCATATAGCAAATAGGAAAAATAGGAATGCTGGGAAAATCTTTTGTGTCTTTGTGATGTTTTGCATCTATTGCAACCCCTTATTTTACTTTCCTCTATGAAGCATGGGGACATTGTCCAAATTATGTCTGGTCGAACCATACAAAGAGTAAGATACTTTGTCATTATAGGTATATTTTGTTGTAGTGCATGGTGTTGCATTGGTTTCCGACTTCCCTAACTATTATTATAAGTTATTAGCTCGTTTACTGAATCCATCAAACTTCTTGGTAGATTTATTACTTCAACTAAAAGTAATGATAGGGATTTAGTTTCTGACAGTTTGCACAATTTTAAATAAGTAAAGGTTAATTTCATCATGACGTTAAATATATTAATGACATTGGTAATGTCAGCTCCCACACATATAAATCAGCCAGAATTGTTCGACTTTCGAATTCCAAATTGAATTAATCAAAGTTTTGATTTCTTCTATTTTACTTGGTAGCACCCATATGTTTTGATTCCATTTGGTCCCCACCTACATGTATAAATTATTGATCATTTTTTTTTAATCAGTTTAGGCCATTATTTGTGTACTTACTTCCATTCCTTAGTTGTCTCTATCTAACAAATTAATTGTACCAAATTTTATTTTCTTTATTTACAGGTTCAAAATCGATTATCATCTTCTTTTGGGATAGCTGGGTGTGCTTCTTAAGGTATTAGAATATGATGACAGACACTACAATAAGGATATCAAGATAAGAAAAACACAAGTAGTGTAATACTGACCAATTGGGTTGCCTAGAAAAGTGAGCAATTGCCTTAATATTTTGATTTTTGTGGGCAATTGTGTGTGTGTGTGTGTGTCAACAATGATGGAATTGTACATTGAAAACCTTAATGAATATAAGACTTATTAAAATTTATTTGTTTGTGATTGGTGGGATTTGCCCTTTTTTATTTTTTGTATGGCTTGGGCTATTTTTTTGCATGCATCAAATATGTTGATGTTGTTGATTTGCACAGGGCGGCTTGGTGTGAAAGTATATGGCTTTGCATGGAGTTTTGGTCGTGTAATATTCATGGAAAAACAGGCACATAGTTTTGTGTTAGATCTCATGAAAAACAGGCATACAATTTTTTTTGGGTGGAAAAAAAAATCACTTTTCACATGGGGCAAAGTTCCTTGCAGAACAGGCAAAAATCATTGTGGAAAGTTACATTTCTAAGAGGGGTTATGTCCGTCTTATAAAATTACACCTTCTACAACGGGTATAAGTACCCGTTGTAGAAAAATCAGCTTTCTACAACGGCCATTGCCCCTCGTCGTAGTATGAACTTCTACAATGGTTTAAGCCGCTGTCGAAAGTTCACTTTCCACAACGTGCTGGAACCGTCGTTGAAGACCCTGAGTCAACAATTACGGGGATACCACAAAGGGCATGCCCTTTGTAGAACTATTTTTCACCCCTTATTAAAAGCCATTTTTCTTGCCCTTTGTAGAACTGTTTTTCACCCCTTATTAAAAGCCATTTTTCTTGTAGTGGAGTATTAATTGTCCATTATTCATACCATCTAGCATTTTTAAACACCGATTTCTAAGCCCATATACTAGACTCGTATATCCAAATTTATAAAAATCACTCATACAAATAGTTACAGACCCTTGCTTAAGTTTGTACTAACAATTTGAGTCCGCTTGGTTTAGTGTTTTGAAAATAGTTTTCTATTTTTTGATAACTGAAAATTGAAAAACTGTACAAAAACCTGATTGGTTGACAATTTATGAGAACTATTTTCTAGAAATTGAGTTAAATTTTTTTTTTTTTTAAAATGTCGATTTTTAAAGAAGGGTCAAGTGCTGAAAACACCCCTAAAGTTTCAATTTGGTGCAAATAATTACCTCCTACAAATTTAAACTCTACATTGACTAAATTACACTTATTGAACTATTTTATAAAATATATAAAAATAAATAATTTTGTAAAATGACCGAAAAGGACATTATTGAAGGATGCCTCTCTCGTGCAAAAAACACCCTTAAAGTTTTAATTTGGTGCAAATAAGTCCCTCTGACAAATTAAACCCTAAGTTAAATAAATTACCCTTACTGAGCCATTTTCTAAAATATATCAAAATCAATAATTATATAAAATGACCGAAAATGACTATTGCCCAGATAATAACTCTACAGGGGGGTGAATAGAGTCTTATACAAACTATACCAAATAATTCGATTAAACAATAAATAACATTCAACTATGATATGATTAACTGAAGCAGATAAATAAATTCTATTACAAAATCAAGAACAATTAAAAGGTTGAGAGAGATAGAAAATTGCAAACACTTGATGGTGTGCCCCAGGTCGTCACTTCGAAACCCAACAGTTTGTGCACACCGCCAAAAGATATAACGGTGTAGAGCTATGATGAATGCGGCCAAGTTTTACATTTAGAATTGCCACTACTACCTTTTACTAAAAATATAGCTAGGGCAAGTAGGGATCGTTCCAAGGGATTGAGGGTTGTACTAGGTTGAGGAATCAAGATTAGGGTTAGTAGGTCGAGTGATCAAAATAGTGGTTGGTTGGTTAAATTATACTAGATGTAAATTAAACTAAAGTAAACAATTATGCAACAAAGAGAATAAAAGAAAGAGAGAGAACTTGGGGTTTAGAGATCACCACTAAGCATAGCTTTTCTACACCCTTAATGAATGATTAACGAGGGAAAAACACGTATTGCAACAAAGTGTGTGTGTGTGTGTGGTTGTTCCAACAAGCATGGATGACAAATTAAGCATATATTGTCTAAGCAACATGGTGGATAGCACAACATATCAAATTATGCCATTAATCCTTTCTTTAAGCTCACAGTCAAACACATCACAAGGTTAAAAATATATGTAACTTGCTTTTATAAGTATGGAACATCAAACAACAAGCATGGATTGACCTCCCATCTAACATCTAAACTACAACTACACTACAATTAAGCTAATGACATGAAATTAAACTAATTAAACTAAGGGGGAGGTACAATCCATCAAGAAATGAGTATGAACCATCAAATAAATCACAAGAACATTCCATTAAGTATGTCTTGACAATCTCTAGATCTATAGTATTAATACACATAGACATGCATCAACAACACAAGAAATAGAGATAAACACATGAATATCTATTTTAACACATATAGATAGAATGAAATGATCAATTGGAAGCATTAAACCATATAAATCATTAAATAAACAAGATCTATATATATAAAAGTGTCAAAACATGTATCAAAATACAAATCCGCTCAAAAATATATAAATCAAGACGTAGAAAGCATGCTTAGGGCTAACTCAAGCCCCAAGAGGATGTCTAGCCACTCATGGATGATGTCTCCCAACCCTCAAGGGCAAGCTCCATAGAAGAAATCTACTCTTTGTTGATGAAGAGCCTCCAATGGTGTCTCTAGACTCCTCCTCTCCTTTGCTTCCTCTCTAAGTATAAAAGTATATAGTCTCCAAAAGTCTCCTCAAAAAGTGGCTCATATTCCTTATATAGGTAGGTCAAAAATCACCCCAAAATGGGCTGGGCTCGTACACCAATAATCCTCTAATGATTGGATATGAGACACCTTTTAATGAGCTAGAATTTGGATTTTCTCGGGATTTGGGAAGTTCGATCGATCGAACTTGTGGTGAGATTAATCGAACATGGCTGACATTTATCGAATTGAAGCTGGATCGATCCTCAATGGCGGCGCCTTTTTGGATAAAAACAAATCTGAGATATTTTGAAAATATTTTTGGGAAAAGGACAAAAGTGGTTGGTATGGTGGTACAGCTGGATAAGATCTGGCATGTGGATAAGGACAAGAAAGTTCGATCGATCAGAGAATAAAGTTGGATCAATCGAACTTTTGGGATCTCTGAAAATGACATCATGGCCCTGGATCTATCTTAAAGTGCTGAGATTGATGAAAGTTGGATCGATCGAACTTTTATTGAGATCGATCGAAGTTGCTGAAATTCCACCTTTTGCTCTACTTTGCTCCTTTCTTTGATTCATCCCAGAATTGCTTCATTTCTGCTCTTATTTGACTGAGTTAGCTTATTTTAAGGATAAGTACCTGAAAATGGAAATAATACGAAATCAATCTAAAGTGGGATAATAAGATAGATAAAGGTCCTTGAATACCTAAGCTTAAGGGGTTTAAATGCGCACTTTTCAGCGCTCATCACACCCCCAAACTTAAATATTGCTAGTCCCTAGCAATGAACTAGAAAGTAAAGGATTGAAATGAACAACTATACAACTATGAACTAGAAAGCAATAAATGGATAACGCCACTTTCATAGGGAACACGATTGCATTTAGCATATACAACAAGCCTTTTAAACCCCTAGGTTACCCCTAGTGGACGAGTGAAGTCTCGTGAGGGTTTCCAGAAATGATACCCACAAACATTAAGCTCATTCTTTCAAAAGAGGCACCAATATTGCAATAAGCATTGGGAGAAAACTACCTCAAATATGTAATTTTTCAACCCTTTCCAAGCAATCTCCCAAAATCTTAACATCAAGCAAGCAAGTATGGTCCTCCACACATCAAGAAAATGATCATGAAAATCAAAACAATACTAGAATCCTTTTTTAGTGGACCGGCATCAAATATGTTGCTATCTTAGCCAACTAAAGAAATGATCACATCCTTACCCTCAAACTAACACACAAATCTAGTACTGATCATCAAGACAAAAAGTGGACCTTTTATTAAAGCTATATTCATCTAGGTGTGTTTATTCTTTTCACTCAAATTTTTTATTTTTTATTTTTTATTTTTTATTTTTAGGATCAAAGATGGAAGCATGGTGCAATGTGTTAATCTATTAAACTTTCTAGCGATTCATGAGGTCGAGCGTTAGGTCAATGACTCCCAAACCAGACGGCTTTAGGGCACTAGGTGTTCAAACACCCCTACGGACTTACAAGCTCAAATCAACTAGGCTATAAATTAAGACAACCTCCATCTAATCATTTCCCACTTCTCACATTTTGGGAGAAATCCTCACTTTTTTATTACTTTTGCAATTTATTTTTTTATTTTATTTTTTTTATTTTTTATTTTTGGAATTCAATTATTAACCTAGAGTTTGGGCCCTCCACCTTTCGGCGCGAGAAATTCAGTGCTTGATGAGGCTAGAATCCCGGCTACTTACTGAAAAGGGGTTGTTATCCACCTTTATCAAGAATGAAAACTTTCAATGCATTACTAGCCCAATTGGGATATAACCAATTCAATAATCAACAAAGCATGTACCCCACAAATGAATACTAATGTGCCCATGTACTAGTGTAGAATACTAGAGTGAATCTCAAAACAATCACAAAATCAGGATGATGTAGACCACAAGTACAGGCATAATATCAATCTTTCGAAAAATTTACTCCTAAATGGCATCCTAAAGGCATACGAGAAGTATTGGACTCTCAAGTCAAACAATTTTTAAATTTTAAGCAATATAGTTCTCAAAAGATCAAAATCATCACTAACATCAATCTCAAATCTCAATCATGCATTTAAAGTTCAACTTTAAGTAGAATGCAACAAGACACCTTACCCCCAAACTTAAACTGCACATTGTTCGTAATGTGTAATGAGAACAATGGAAAAGATGGAAAGAGTATACCGTGGTGATATTGACATGAAGCCCAGCAATGACCCAAGTCAAAAGACGTCTCCCCCAAACTTGGAATCAACAACCTACTTGAATAACCACACTAGCAAATTCACATTAAATGTCAAGTGGGATAAGAATGATTAAATTATGCATTCTAAAGCAATACAATCACAAAATGAAAGAGAGATATGAGATCAAGCCCGATAGGAAAATAACATGACTACACATAAGGGCACAAAAGATATATATATATTTGAATAAACAAAATGAAATTAAAGAAAGTATGAACAAAGATTGCTAAGTTTAACGTCTCTAGCTAGACGTAAT